TTTTTTTTTTTTTTTTTTCATTATAAATTTTGCGAATTATTTGGATACAATTCTCATTATTCAATAATTATTTTTAGATGATGAGTGTCCACTGCCGGTGGACGACTTCCTCGAGGCCCTGAGCTCAGAACTGGAGATTCCCCTTCTCCTGAACGGCGAGGGATCTCCGGATCACGATGAGAGCCCCGACGAGATAATGAAGAATGCGGCGATCGATTCATTTCCGAATTTAGAAAAATTGGGATTGAATTTTAACGAACTTGAGAGTGTATTCTCTGCAATTAATGATGGCAAACCCAATGAGAATGTCACTGAGTGCGAGCCAAACTCGCGATTCCCACCGTCACCAAGTCCAAGTCACTCGGAGTCGAGTTTATCCGAGTGGCCGAGTGATTGTCCCACAAGTGTCAAGCTGACCCTGGAGACCCCACCAATATCTCCACCTCAGAACGAGTCGCCACCGGTCTCACCACTACCAAGTGTCAACTCTCCCTTTCTCCATACCATTAAGCTCATTCCAGTCTCGACGAACGATGAATCTCAGTCTAAAATCATCCCCAAACAGCCCCCCAAGTTCGTTCTGGCCAAGGGGAATCCCTCGAAAAGACCGGCTGTAACAGCCCCAAATGCCGAACAACCGAAGAAGATGATCGTCCTGAGTGCGCAGGACTTCGCAGCGTTGACTAAAAAATTCCGGCAAAATGGACCAAGCACACAACCCCTGAAGATCCAAACACTGAAGACACGACAGATGATAAATCCCCCAAAAGCCGAAATGCCAAAGCCCCAGAGTTTACCCGGAATCGATGACAAGAGCCAAGTGAAGATCATCAACGCCTTTCCACAGATAAAAATAGCCAAGCAAGAGCCGTTGACGCCTGCCGACGCTAAAATCCTCACGTGTCCGCCGGTAATAATAAAAAACGAAAATCCAAACATGCCGCAGATCGTCATAAAGAACGAGATGCCCCAGGAGCTGGCGAACTTCACGGCTCGACAGGAGTGCGAGCTGAAGGCGTTGAAGCGTCAGCAGAGAATGATAAAGAATCGAGAGTCCGCATGTCTCTCCCGCAAGAAGAAGAAGGAGTACGTGAACTCGTTGGAGAACCAGATATCGGAGCTCCAGGAGGAGAACAATAAACTGAAACTCGAGAATACGATGTTGAAGCAGCGATTGAGCTGTTTGGAGAGCTCATCACTGCATTCTAGTGATTCCAAAGCCAGCGTCAAGCTGAATGCCAACAGGAAGAACACTGCCATCGTCCTGGCGATGGTATTCATGGTCTGCTTCAACATGATGTCGAATATAAACTTATTCTCTGTGGATCGTCGACCCGACAGCCTCCTCGCAAAAGACATTCCCGTGTCGTTGCCCAACGTCAGACATGGGAGGTCTCTCCTTTGGAAGGCAGAGGAGCCAGAGCAGGAAATCGAGCCCAACAAGACGGTTAATGATCACCCGATGTGTCCGATGTACATAAACCAGACAGAATCCCTCAGACTGGACTACGAGCTCAGGAGGTGGATAGGGGGAAGCTCTAACAAACAGAACTATCGAAAGGACGTGGCAAGACAGGATTCGAGGGTAAATTCACCTCTCGGGGAGATGCTTCTCCCCAAAATGAAGCGTCGGGAGAAGATTGCTGACGAAGTGAAGATTGTGCCCCAGAGGAAGGAGACAGAGTTGGCGATTAATGCTGTGGAGATTTTCTCACCGACCATGAAGGATCATCCACCCATCTTTGATACGCTTAGGAGGAGGGAGGACACCTTTTACGTTGTCTGGTTCAGTGGTGAGAACCTTCTGCTGCCTGCCTCGAGGCAAAATAAAACCGTCAGACCGAGGATGTCTCTGGTTTTTCCAGCTCCAGTCAACAAGAGTCTCACTTCACCATCTGAGCACATCACTATGATGCAAATTGATTGTGAAGTCACTGATACTCAGTTGGTGCAAGTCACGGAGTCGGTAATACCTAAACATCTGAGGAAAAATCAGGGGAAGGATGAGGCCAGTGGGGTGAGAACAGCGAATAAAACTAAGGAGTTTGGTAAACCGTACGTTTTGAAACAGAAGCGCGATCCTTTTTCTAATCAACAGCCTTACATTATTAATGAGAAGTTTAATAGTTACGATGTTGAGGGTAATTTGTCGCGGGTGGAGAATTCGAAGGGCAGTTATCTGAGGAAGAAATTGAGGAAGAATTTGCAGCCCTAGGGGGTGTGATAAATTGTGGAAATTGTTGAGGGGAAAATGCATCGCAATTTTTGGGAAAAATTGAAATTTATCGTTTTTTTTACTTTATGGAAATGACGACACGATGAGGGACTTTGATTCAATTTTTTATCATGTTTTGACGGGTTTATAGAACGCAATTTCGGTGTGTCTCCCCTTGAGCATGATTAATTATCATAAGATGAGTGCAATTATAACGATAAGAGAAACTTTTTCACTTTTCTGCCAAATTTATCATCGGTTAACCAATGATTCAAGTGATAAAGTGTAATCATGACTGAAGAATGCATAAAAATAATTGATATATCTGACAATTTGTGGGGGTAATGTGTTAGGATTAATCAACCAAGTGCAAATAACGTGATACGATGTACATAATACGTTTTTGAATGTCTCCTTATATTAGAGTCTAAGGTAGTGAAATTTGCTGTATAATTGATTGATTTTTTTTTTCTTTTTAGCACCGCTTGCATCACGCAACAATTTTTTTCACCGAGAGTAGGAGTGTAAGGGTCTGATGTATGGCATGATAGATTTCGTTTTTTCGTGTGTTTGTTTGACACTGAGGGGAGGGGGGTAAAATCGACTGTTTCAATCATGAGATGATACTTTAAAATGAGACGCGATTTATCTCGATGGCATTATTCGTTCAGGAGATATTGGAAATTTAATATGGTCGATTTATCCTCACTTTTCCCCGATAACTAGATGATAAGTGATATGTATCAGTATTGAGGACATCAGAGAGATAATTATGAACGAATTTATTACAAAATAAAGTAATTATCTTGGCACAATTCATAATAGCAGAACAATTGTCAATGCAGGATTCATTTCAAATCAGGAGTAGAGCTTCCGAGATATGTTTCCAAGTCAGTAATAGTTGATTTTATGAGCTTTGCCTTTATGGTGGATCTGCCGAGGCGCTTGTGAGCTGTGTATCTGTGGCAGCCACCGAATGAATAGTAGTAATCGCCACCTGAAATTTTTTTTTTCACCGAGTTTATCAAATAAAATTGTGAATTGTTGGAATAAAAAATTTCGAGTCGTTGTTCCTCACCTTCTCGTCCTGTGATCCATAGAACGTCGATGGGGGGCACTAGGTCGACGGTCTCTGGGTCTTGAATTGTCTCCATCAAACCCTTGACCTTCTCCTCGTTCACTTCGGGTGGTATTGGTCGGATTAGAACGCTCATTGGGACATCGTAAACTTCGGCGGTGTTGCTCGAATGAATACTTGTTGAATCATGTGTTTTCATTGTTAATTGCTAAAAATAATTTATTAGTCATGATATCGGGCAGTTGGAAAAACAAAATTTTAGGATAGAGCGATTAATCGATAAATTGAGCTAATTGCGTCATTAAATTTGATATAGTGACGGACTTACCCGATAAAAGGTGAGGAGTCCACTTCTGTTTAATTGTTTGATGTTTTGCATCGTCCACAACCTCGATAACAAGTCCCTCGAGCGGTGAGGAGTGGTGGGAGCGAATGATTGTCGAGTGACAAGGTCAAATCTGACCAATGAGGGGGAATGGTTTGAGTAAAGGTGTATTGAATATTCAAGAAGTTTAAATTATGCTCTATTTTTCTGTTGATTCTGCAAAAAATCAATGACATCTTGGGCAAGAGATTTATATAACTTTGATTCTGGAGAATTCGGTGAAGAGAGGACTAGTGGCCTTCCTGCGTCTCCACTCTGGGTTATTGATTCGTGGAGAGGAAATTTTCGGAGAAGTTTTATACCTGAAATTGTAGAGAATTACAATGAAAAAAAAGCTTTTTATTTAATGAGAATTGTTTAAACTTTCAAAATCTTCCTCTTTCGAAACGAAATTAAATCCTAAATATGAATTTTCGAGTGACTAATTGATTAATTATTTATAAAAAATGTCGTAATTTTTCAATCATTTAATTTCAAACAATTTTTCCGAAATGTTTTTCTCAAACAGAGGCCTAAAAATATCATTATAAAATCATCACAAAGTGTTTGGTAACCTCGAGTCCAATGAGATTTAAATGGGAGCTCTAATTTAAATTTCAACGAAAAATCGTGTCGAAATTGATTGGATATCCTCGAAGAATAATATCTTGCGTACCTAGTTCCTCAGCTAGTCCTCCACTTCCCTCTCCAAATAACGAAATATCGTGATGGCATTTTGGACAGGAGACACTGCTCATATTTTCAACGAGCCCAGCAATGGGTACATCGAGTTTTTGGAACATTTTGGCACCACGTCTGGCCACATCTGAGGCAGCTCTCTGAGGAGTAGTGACGATCAGAACCCCGCTGACTGGAATATTCTGGATCAATGATAGCAGAGTGTCTCCTGTCCCTGGTGGAGTGTCCACGATTAAATAGTCCAGAGGCCCCCAGGCCACCTGACGAAGGAGCTTGTCCAAGGCGCTCATCACCATGAGCCCTCGCCAGATCACAGGAGATTTCTCGTTCACCAGGAAACCCATGGACATGCTGGAGGAATAATAGTGATATAATGCGTTTAGAACTCTTCGAAGTAAATGAAATGGGGGATCGCGACCATATGTTTTCAAATTATTTAAATTCTTTTGGGCCATGTTTAGGGGTGACAACTGAAAATGAATTTTCGAGGAACTTCTCGTCGTCATTTTTTTAGTTTTGAATAAAAATGCACCTGAAGAGGAATGCTTTCTGCATTCGAAACGTAGTGCAATTGAACTAGTTAGATTTTCTCTGTTTGACTACTGCTGTTGACCTAAACATGGCCCGAAAGAATTTAAATAAAAACTTTATTAATAAACTTGTTGAAACTTTATTCTTCAACTTTGAAAAGTTGAAGAATTTAAACTTTATTAAAACATTAAAACTTTAAACTTCGCATCATTCATTTCATTGGAGTTTTTTCTTTTAAACTTTATTGAAACGTTAAAACATTAAACTTCGCATCATTCATTTCATTGGAGTTTTTTCTTTTAAACTTTATTGAAACGTTAAAACATTAAACTTCGCATCATTCATTTCATTGGAGTTTTTTCTTTTAAACTTTATTAAAACTGTATTCTTCAACTTTGAAGAGTTAAATTCTTTAACTCTTCAAGTTGTCGAGTTGTCATCGGGATTTACCATTTGACCCCGTAATTCACGAGTGGTTCCATCAGCCCCTTGTCATTCAGAAGAGGCTCCTGATGTAAATTCATCATGAGGGGAATTGTCGGGCCAAAGACATCAGCATCCAACAGCCCCACCAGCTTCTCTGGCATGACAACTTTCAGAGCAGTTGCCAGGTTTACACTTGTAGTGGATTTTCCAACACCCCCTTTTCCTGAGGCAACAATCAGAATTTGTTTGACCCCTTCGATGGGCTTTTGCTTTGGCAGCCCTTTAGCCATTATTTCTCTCCTTCTTTCGTCGTGGGTTTTGCCATCTGGCTTCGATGATAAGTGAGACTGGAGTAAAAAATAAAAATTCATAAATAGACAGAGAATGAAATTGTGGGAATTGAAAATTTTTGGAATTGTGGGTTTAATGCTTTAAATAAAAAATGTGGGAATATCAATTTTAATTTCTCACCACTGATATTTTTCTGTAGATCTTCCGGGAATGTTTGAATAATTTCCGGAGTGTTATCATCATTTTCGATCTTTTTTTTACTTGGAAAAATCGAGCTCCAAAACGATAAAGGAGAAATATAATTTAAAAAATAAGAATTATAAAAATCTAGTCCATAAAAATTTTAAAATATTGAATTATATTATCTACAAATTACGAATCAGTGATAATCGACATGACATCGATTTTAATATTAATATGAATAAATGAATATTTATTTTATTGTTTATATCTCAGATATTATGAGCTCTCGGTGATGCCCCAAGGCATTTCTAATCCGCGAAAATTCGGCTGGAACACACGTGTCGGTTTCACCCAAGTCATGAGAATCCGCTTAAAACCGAAATTCGTTCTTCGGATGGGGGACGGGTCGTTTGTACAAATCTCAGATGGACACATTCCGTTTTGAACACGTTCTAGGAAAAATGGGGACAGTACGGGAGGGGGTGGAACGGGTGGGCACGGAAATTTGTGGTCACATTCGCGGATGGGCAGCCTGTGATGAAGTGGTTAAACAGGGCTCGATATTGCAAATGTCCTCTGAGAAAGTCTTACCAATCGAATTTCCTAGTGCAGTGGCTCGTTAAGAGATGGCGGGATTATTCTCATTTCCAGCGGAATTGGAAAATGAATCAGAATGAACCAGAGCAAGGTTGTTAGCCGGAAATTATTATTTATAATAAACAAATAGCGGTGGGAATCAGTTGTAATTCGTTCGCAGATGAATCTAATGCATTTTTCAGTGTTTAAGGATTACTTAATTGATTGGTGATTTAAAAAAACTAACGACGTACTAATTAAGAATCAACATTCACTTGGCGAAAAAAATCGATTTTGCCGAAAGTCGACTTTCCCCCGGGAAAAATCCAAGATTTGAAACTTTGGCCCCGGGTGAAAAAAAAAAATTTATTTCGATATTTCCGGCGCCTCCGAGGGTTTCATTGACATTAGAGGGACCAATAAATACGGAATCAACATTCACTTGGCGAAAAAAAACGATTTTGGCGAAAGTCGACTTTCCCCTGGGAAAAATCCGAGATCTGACACTTTGGCCTCCGGTGAAAATTTTTTTTTTTCAGTTTTCACTTTTTCCACATACTTTTGATAGTTCTGAATAGCCCGTCGCTTAAATAGTTGGAATCAACTTTCACCCGGCTAAAAAATTCGATTTTGG